AAATTTTGCTACTGAAGCGTCGCCAAAGATCTTGCAATATTCATCCACTCTCTGCACAGTAGGCCAAGTCAGGAAAAGATCTACTCTGTGAGCCACGACTGGATTTTTTGAGCCGCGAAATAATGAATTTTCAAGCCGTAAGTCTATTTCTCAAGCCGTGGAAAGCCATTCTTGAACCGCGAACTTGCGAACTCTTGGCGGCGATGGCACGCGCGCAGCGCCGCCAGCGCGCGATCACGATTCACGAATAAGCTCAAATTTTGCCCTAGAAACAGCAGTTAAACATTATTCCCTTAATTCACATGTGTATAAGAGACAGGTGTGAAGTGGGTGGGTCGGTGCTTGAGCTTTTAGTCTGAGTTGGATTGCATGGAGTCTGAGGTGCTGGTCTATTGGCAGCGTTTTTGTTTCTGTGTGTAGGTGGCTTTGGTTAGTATCAGNACGTGGCAACAACATGAGCTCAAATGATACAGTGATACATCGGCCGGTGCACTATTCTTTATCGTTTTGCTGCCGACAACTGCCAACCGCTGGCTTGCCCTTCCATCACACGTCACGTGACCCATTTCGGAGCCGCGACATTTCTAAATCAATATATTTTACCTGACTTCCGAGCCGCGAGATTTCAAACTTACATATAAATGGGAGATCTCGGGCCGCGAAATTTCCGTTAAAAGTAGATGTATTCCACCCCTGCAGTAGGCTGAAGGCCTGAAGCTGTGAAAGAATTTTGGGAAGACATAAGGGGTGCACACGGTGCAGCCTGCAGGGCTTTAAAATTCATTTTTTTCTTAAATATCATGGCTCTAATATCATATAATTTCATTACTTATCACATCAGTAGGTATGAAATTGTATGGCTCTATGTTCATAATTTTTTGTCTGATTGAAAAAATTGTAGTTTGCACTAAACAAACCTGTCGTTTCATAAAATTATGTTTCACAATCCACACTTCCACAGTTACACAGTACCTATATAATATATATTATATATACAGGGTGTGCCAGACCAGAGAATTGAGAGAAACTTACTTATTTGAAAGGTCAATATAAACAAAAGTAGGGTAAACGCGGTATATTCTGACATCGTGGGTAATTCCGTCACCTCTCTAGTTTTTCCTTTATATTAAGCTTTGTTTTAGTTCCATGTGTTTGTTGATGGTTGAAATGGTGACGTCATACATTTGCGCGTTGAACTATCATTACGTATCAGTAGAATTTGAAGCGCGGACGGAATACGCCTTACCACGTGCCAAATATTGCCACACACAGTGTCAGAATATAGGGATTTGGTAGGTTTGCATTCTAAAGGCTTTTAAATAAATATGTCAACATTTTGTGACGTTTCATCGTTGCTGGCGCGTAGTACGGTGTTTTGCGAGTCACATAAAGCAAACAGATCTTGAGTAACGCATACGGTTATTTTTTATAGTTTTTCATTTCTCGATGCATCCTTAATGTGTCAAAATATACCGTGTTTACCCTACTTCAATGATGGTTTTAAATTTTTTTTACTTGAAATATAATTTTTTCATGCAGTCTTGAAAATGACATCGGATAAATGGCAACCTCCATTGCACATACACTGATGTCTGATGAAGTTGATTTTTTAATTTCGCATCCTTTCTTTGCAGCATATCAATTGGTATGTGGGCAATGGCATCACAAATGTTGTTCTTGAGGTGTGCTATGGTCTGTGGTCGATCAACATGAACCAGAGATTTCAAATAACAACATAAAAAGAAATTGCATGGAGTCAAATCTGGAGAGCGTGGCCACTGTGGCGGCCATTGGAGATGCCTCTGAGAGAGATGAGGCAGTTGGGGTAATGTTGTTGCAACAAATTCATTGAGTCTCATCACTCTCGTGTTGTGTGTACTGTGTTCTGTAGCTCCATCTTGCTGAAACCACTCGTTCCTAACGTTCATTTCTTTGAGTCTTGGAAGAAAAAATTCTTCGATCATGTTCCTGTAATGAGCTCCATTAACGGTAACTGCGCGTTCGTTTTCTTAAAAAAATAAGGACCAATTATTCCCATTACTGAGGTCGCACACCAGACCAGACAGTAACTGGCTCACAGTTGAGTAGCTTCTGGTGAAGCTCACATGGGTTAACACCACCCCAATAATGCATATTTTGCTTGTTGACGCAGCCAAAAATGTGGAAGTGAGCTTCGTCACTGGAAAAACGGCCGCATCTTCAGGAAGGTTGTCTACCTGCATTTCACACGTATTTTACGGGCAACAAAATCGCGTTCAGTTAATTCTTGCACAACAGCAAATTTATTTGAAAAACAAATTTGGAACTTTCCCCTTCGAATGCGCCCCCTTTGGCCCCTCTAACCGCCCAACTCACCACACAGGAATTTTTTCAAATAAGTAAGTTTCTCTGACACACCCTGTACTTCAATGCTCTCACCTCCCACCAAAATAACATGCGTAACATAATAACAACAAGAACAAGTCAACCCAAAACGTTTCCTTGAAACTTTAAGATCATATAGTTGCAGTCATGTCAGAGTGGTCAGACTGCATTATCACTTGTTCAGTTGTTGGTTTGCTGCTTAAGTAAAGACAAATTTTAGTGACTGTTTTTAGGGTAAAATTAGAAATGTGGGTAACACGTGCATGGGACTTTGTAAATAATAAGTTTGCAGCTCGTAAATGCTTTTTAGGGCCAAGAAATGGAGTTCATGGCTTGAGGACTTGAACAGAATCACAGCTTGCAAACCCACAGGATTGAAATTTTCCTACTTGTTTCTGAAATCTTGCGGCTCCAACGTGACAAATTTTTAATATATTTGGAATCTTGCGACCCAATCGTGCAATTTTGTTAACAATTAAATAGGTAATTCATCTGGCTGAAATCTTGCGGTTCCGGGAATGGCGGGAAAGCTCTAGTTGCAGCCCTAATGGTAGAAGTTTTCCATTCTTGGAAACCCATAAAACCGCAGCTCAAAAATTCCAGTTGCGGCTTGCCAAGTGGCAATATTCCATGCCTAGTGGGGTGCATGACAGCATGAGGAATTTATGCAGTTGAAAATATATCACTAGAACATAAAGACCTGAGTAGTATAGATGGGGAAATTACAAATGTGGAGGTGAAATGGGTGGTAGAGTGACTGAAGAATAATACGGCAGCTGGAATGGATGAGATACCATATTGCATATGAGATGTATAAGTATGGAAGTGGGAGACTGGGAGTGCAATTGGCAGACTGCTGATCTATTTAATTCAATGTTGTTTGGACAAATGAATGTGTACCTTATGCATGGAAATGGAATGAAAGCCAGCTTAGCTGGGTGACCTTTTTGCACATGGGAGGCCACATAGCCACAAGAGCTGGAAGCAGAAGGAGCTGAAAAACCACAGGCCAATTACTCCTGCTGACACCTGTAGGTGTAGCAAGATTTTCTGTGCAGTTTTGGATGAGCAAATGCAAATATGTCTGGAGCATGGAAGAGTATTTGGTGAGTAGCAGAATGGTTTCAGGTGTCCAGGGTGCAGACTGCAGAGGGTGCACCATGCAAGCAGCATTGCCAAATGCCAAGATATGGATTTTTAGCCCAAAGTCTTGCCAGCCATTTTCAAGATGAGTTGCCAGGTAATTTTTAATAAGAAAATGCTGCTTACAACTTTGATAGTATGTCCCTTACTCTCCATGCACTGCAACACTTATGCTCATTCAGTCATTGCAACTGATTTCCGGACAAACTTCACTGCATCCTGATCCATCCAACGTACTGGAAACCTTACTGTGTGTGCTTGCTGCTTGCAGTCTTTCAGATTTGCAATAATTTCAAAGTAATTTCTAAAATGCAATTATTTCAATCCAAATGTGTTGGCAAGATCTTCTGAAGGCATTAATTTTGCTGCTGATGCATTGCCAAAGATCTTACAATAACCCAATTTCCGCTCCCTGGTCAATGGGACAGAAGAGCAGAAAATAACATATTTGTTGTGAATGAATTGATTGAAAGAATGAAGAGTGATGGAAGGAGAGTGTACTTGGCATTCAGAGATATTGAAGAGGGTTATAAAGAGGTTAGAGTTGACAGAAAATTATTGTGCCAGATTTTAGAAGAAATTGATATGAGTGAAAAGTATACAAAGATAGTTAAAAGTATGTATTAAATACTTGAGCTAAATATAGGCTTGGAGATGTAGGTACTGACTGGGTGAAGTGCATGAGGGTCTGAGGGATGTTTGACAAGAATGTATCCTGTCTCCACTTTTCTATGGCCTGTACATTGAACAGAAGGCTGCTAGACTGAGAATATGGTGGTATTCTGTAAAGCCCTTTGTCACTCAAATCCACTAGGATGATCAGAGCACTCCAACACAACTCACTTCAGGAGCGTGTGGGGGGGGGCCATTTAGAGTGCCTGAGGAGCAGAGGGGGGCATCAAAGAGTGCTATTTTTAAGGATTTGGCACTTCTTTATTAAGGAAATGCCAGTTATTTTGGTGCTGGAGCACTCTAAATCTAATGCACTTGTCCAGGCTGTCCTGCTCATCCAGATTCTACAAACTGGGGATAGAGCTGGACTCTGAAATGTTCTCCATAAAGATATGAATTTATGTGGACTATATTCATTGCTTTTACATTTTTAGTAAACTTGCAATTTAAGCAAATAAGTGACATCAAAGAATAAGTTAAGAGATGAGGTTGGATTTTTAATTAATAGAGGGAGGGAGTATGAGAAAATGGATGATGCCCTGTTTGTAGATTTGCCCTAGGGAGCAACTGTGGCTGTGATCAAGATGGTAATTAAACATTTGGAGAGTTTATAGAGGCTTTGAGTGTGGGACAGGATTTGCCATCAGAAAAACGGCACTTCTTTTTTTTCTCCGGAAACAAGCACTTTAGTTTTGTCTCTGGCTGCACTTCAAACTTTGGCTGTTACTCAGGCAAACCTTTTTATTGTTGGATATTTATTCTAGAAGGCTGCGTTGTTAATAAATTTTTTAATTACACCTAGAGTTTGTTAGGATGAGGCTCATGATAATTCAATAATTTCTTTCCAGAAAACCATAATTTGAATTTTGAATTAGCATAAACTTCATTACTTTCTAACCAAAATGAACTTCAGTGATCTCTTTGTTATATTTCTTAGCCTTTTTGGATATGGTAAGTGTGAGAATTGATCTCTATTACTGTGGCAGCAAATGAAATATTATACTGTATAACGTAGCTAAAAATAATTTCTAAAATAAATAATTATGCATTTTGCCTGATGGAACAAATTTGTTCTAACTATATATGCATTCAAATGGGATGTAAATAAATTATGTGTCAAGTGTGTTCTATAATAATATAACCAGAACCTTCTCATAATGATATATTTAGCATTAGCTATTTTAGAACTGCTTGTGTTGGTTCCTCATCTGCAAATGATCCTCATCCGAAAAAAAAATTGTTCATGATGAATTGCAAGTGTACAGATATGATTTGCTACTATTTTTCAAGTTTGGGGAATTCTAAAGATGAATTACTTTATTGAATAACAGCTTCATTTGTTATTAACTGTTATAATTTGTATTGCTTGCCACAGGGGCTGCAGATCAGTTTGTTACATGTGGTTCCATCACCAAGTTATATAACCCACATTACAGGGTAAGTTTCCCATAAAACCTATTTAAACATACCAAGCTCATACAATGACTGTACTGCACAGTCATTCCCTTCCCTATGATGTAATTTCTATCAATTTATTGAGCATAGGCAATTAATTTTTTATTAATTTTCCTATTTATTTATTCTCCATTTGTTGCATCTACACCTTAATTTAGTCTTGAGAGAATACAGTATGGTAATAATTATTGTGTACATGATGTTTAGTTGTAAATACAATGTGTTTCTATCTTTGGTGTGTACTTAAATTTTCTTCCTAACTTTTAATGCTATGAATCTTGAGATTTATTTGAACCAGGAAGTTGCTTCACTAAATTCCAAGCCATATTATTGAGGCTTACATTATGTTCATCTTCTCGCATGTTGCAGGTGCGTTTACACTCTCATGATGTGAAGTATGGATCAGGATCAGGTCAACAGTCAGTGACAGGGTCGCCTACTCAAGAGGACCACAATAGCAATTGGCTTGTCAAAGGAACTCCTGCCAAACCCTGCACCAGAGGGTGTGTACTGTTTGGTCTCACTGGCTTGTACTTTGAAAACCGTGCTATTTTGAGTCTTGGTGTTACTTACGGATGATTTTTAAAATTCTGCTCATATTCACTTTGCATGTATTTTATTTATGTTATGTTTAATCATTGTTTCATAACAGGGAAGCCATTAAGTGTGGAGAGCAGGTGCGGCTGGAGCACGTCAGTACACACAGGAATCTTCACTCCCACCACTTCTCTTCTCCACTCTCTGACCAGCAGGTGTTTACCAAATAAATTTCTCAGATCTTTGACCCCTAGATATGGGTTGGGGACATTTTTTAAAACTACCTTACCACGTCCATCATTCTTACTGCATCGACTTTTTCTTCTGTGGTGGGAAAATTTTTTGTTCTCAAGTGTCAGCCAAAACAAAAAAATAGGAGGACTTAACAACAATTGATGATTTAGACCACCCACTTCACGAATTAATGCTTAGAAAATAAATATAACTTACATTTAGATTTTGTTTGGGGTGTTGGTTTTAATGTATATTTTTATAGTGTTTTGGCTTTCAGCATATCCTTATACGTATCTTGTGCTAGGAAGTGTCAGCGTTTGGAGAGGAAGGCGAGGGCGACACGGGTGATGTCTGGTCCATCATCTGCAGTGGTGAAGCATGGCGGAGAGGCGACCAAATCATGCTGCGCCACGTCGACACTGACGTGTCAGTTTTTATTAGTTTTTTTCTATAGTTGTTTACAGATGGTTCCCTCACGTATCAGGAATGTATTTATTATTAACTTCATTTAGGAATGAAGTTGGTAAAAAGCTTGAAGCTTAACCATGCTAAATAGTTTTTCGTTATTCCTTATATATATATATATATATGTCTAATCTGTTGAGTCATGACGCATTATGGAATATCTTGCTTTACCGCTAACAATAAAGTCAATAATGGAAGCTGAATTTTGAGCTGAATCATATTCACTTTCTGTTAAATTACAATGCAAAGCTGGATACAGTACCGTATTATATGAACATCGGAAAAATTTTTCATTTTTTCTCGTAAGTACTAGCTGGACTAGCCTCATTTACCTCTTCTGTTAAATAGACTGGAGTTTTTTTATTTCAATTTCACAACTACTTATTTTTTGGTCAATTAAAGCTGTTAGTTCTTTTTCAATTTTTATTTTTTTTCATAGAATAATTTTACTAACTAATTCAATTTATCCAGCATGAATTTGAACATCATGAAAAATGTTGAATGAAAATATTGTTCATGATGATCATCATGAAAAAATCTAATGAACAAGCATTAATAACCCTAAAAAAGTACCAATATCAATTAAGAAACGGTAACCATTTTAAACCTTGTCTCAGGTACTTGGGGGTGACAGGGCAGCAGTACGGACGTCCCATCAACGGACAAAGTGAAGTGGTTGGCTTGACACGGTCTGGACCACAGACCAACTGGCAGAGCATGGAGGGCGTCTTTGTGCAGCGCTCCGAGCTCCCTGTCCCTTCCTCTCATCCACACGCGGAATTATAGGAACTACACTATCAAATTTAATCCAGATTATAGCTTCGATGATCGGTCCCGAGAAGAATTTCTTGTAACATTCTTGAGGTCAAATGTTAAATGTTCTTAGCTTCCCGTACCCTCCTCTCATTCACATTCGGACTTATAGGAACTACACAAACAAACTTACTCGATAGGCCGAGCAGTGTTCTGTTAATAAGTTTATGCGCATCAGAGCTTTTGAGCTGATGTCTCCATAACGCGAGTTAGTAGCTTGGAGAATCGGTCAAAGAGAAATTGTTGTAACTTTATTTCTTAAGATCAAATGTTATTAATGTTGCTAGCTCCCGGCCGCACTTCTTTCTAAATTCTCGAGGTACCGGACCAACGAACTTTTTCACGTCAATCATCCAGTCATGAGCGTCTCGTAGTGGAACGCTTTTACCTAATTTTGCAGGACCATACCTACTCATGTGTACACTGTGAGCCTATAAGCATGTGCTAAGCGAGTCATTAGTTTGAATAGGTAATGTAATGCAAAACTTTTGCTGTGTTTTGTGTATTATCAGACAATACAATCGTCTCACGTTTTGATTGAGAATCACCACTACTTGCACGAATTGTCAGTGTGATCTAGATATCTTAAATTAATTTAGAATGGAATTAAGGCTTGTTTTCTCTTTATAAAAGATATTGGCATGGAATTTATTGATATGGTGTAAAATTTGACGTTTATTTATTAGTTAATCAGTTCAATGTATACGGTAATCGTTTCTCCTAACGTAAATTAAAGATTTATTTCTTGAATATGCCCGTCACGCATTTCCTCACAGAGCTGATTCGTTGGTTAGAAACTTGGCATAATGCCTTTCCGGGTCTTAGATCTCCTGGATAATAACTGAGCGAATGAATTATCTACGTCTTTTTCCGGACGAATTCCAGTTGGGCTGTTTTGCTAGTTCTTGAAATTATTTCTAAGCCTAGGGAAGCTGCTCACGTTTTTTCCACTATTGTCTTCTCAGCTCATTTACGTAATCTCATAAGCTCATTTACGTTAATTCTCTCACACATTGCGCTCTTATAGTCTCCAATCGCTTTTATGGTTGCATTCCAGTTACATAGAGATTACTTACTCTTTTTCCGCATGCAGATTTAGACTTGCAGCTTTTTATCAGTCTCATTTACTACGGTTTCGGTTTGAGAATATTACTGGTGTCTTCCGAGGTCGATTGCCGCGGCTGAAAGTTCAAGCTCAATCAATAGTTTCGGACGAGTTTGCAGCTCCGTTTTCGTTCAGTCGACTTCTTCAGGAATACTAAGCGAGCTACTCATAAAGGTTTCATTTACAAAAATTTATTTATAAGCTTTCAGCATTTAGTTTTTAAATTTCCTGCATCTAACTTCCATCATAGGAATTATTTTCAGCATGACATATCCCATGGGCATTGCTCTGCTGTACGGTCTGCTTCGAAATCGTTATTATTTGACACTTTGATAATAGTTGTTAATTTTCTGCGCCAGTTTCGTGACCGTTTCCGCTGGTCCGAGCTTTTCGGGGTCATTCTGAACAAGGCGTGAAATTTGGCGTGTGTAACAAGGCGTGTTGACATGTTGTTACTGATGACTCCAAGAAAAGAGATGGATGTTTCGAGTCATTTTTAGAATATCTGTTATTTATTTGTGAGCTGACTAGTGAGATCCACTGACACTGCTCAGTTATATTATTCTTGGGCATTAATTTTACGCACAAACTTGCATCTATTTAAGTTCATTGTATATTGTTGTTCAACGTTGCTCGAACTTAATTCAATGATTTAATTCTTCAACTACCATTTACTTCTTCAGTGCTAGAGTAAAGATTTCTCAGTATTATGAATATTTTGTTGGAGTATATGCGCGAAATGTATCTATTTCGAATAATATTGCGCAAATGAACCTCGTTTCTGTGCGACGTTTATTCTCTGATTCTTGTAAAAGTCTACAGAAGCATCGGATTCCATTAATCGGATGTTGAAGATACGCCACACCAAATTTGTTTCGTTGCTGTGTTATTTATCTGATTGTAGTTAGCTTGTCCAGCTTCATGATACAGCGCATGACGTGTTGATTATTGATATTCGTTCGAGTAAGCGTCACATCTGCGTAACATAGTTCAGGTTCAAATGAAAGAGTTCGTAATTAAATTATTCTTTAATCTAATAGAGTATTATTTCCTTGTCCGTATGCTAGGTCATAAGTCTAGTGAGTTAACGCTTCTCTCTCCCTCCACTTTAGGATCTGAGGAGTCATGAGCGTAGCCGTTGTTTACGCAGCCATTGGTCGTCACGTTAAGAGATGTCTGGGTATTGTATGGGGGAGGTCCTACGAAGGATAACAACACGGGCAGGAACACTAGCGCGTAATACATTCCTAGAACAGTGGTGGGTGTGAAGACGACGAAGAACGTTACAAAAACGTGCGAGTTTGAGAAAGCGAGCATTATGAAGGGAATGAGGGTAGAGACACCGCCTTGTAGGACCGCTGGACCCACGCGGGCCAGACTCAACTTCGTTCTCTCTAGTCGATCATCAGTAGAGTTTTCCGTGAGGAACGTGTGTGTGATATGAACAGAGTAATCCACACTCAGACCTATGCTTAGTACGAGCGAAATGCATGAGACCGTATCAATGGTGAACCCGGATAAATGCATCGATCCGGCCACACCTACCACCGTCGCAGCGACACACATGAGCACCAAACACGCGGCCTTGAAGGACACCAAGAGTACAACTGTGGTAGCCATGATGACGAGGCCTGTTAGCAACATGTTCCTGAGCAGCTCTTCCCCTACCACCGTGTTCGTCTCCCAAATACTGTAAGCTTCAGACCACGTGCCCTGAAACCCTGGTAAGCTGAAGCGCGTCAGAAGGGAATTGATTTCTGATGTTGCTTCCTGCTGCTGCACCGGAGTGTCGGCTGGTCTGTGCTTGAATGGAATGCGGAAATATTTCAGTGGTGGCGCAGATACGTTGCATTCTACCTCTCCGTCAAACACCAGGTCGTTTCTGTACGCGCCACCGGTGGGTGTGTAGAGGAAAAGAGATATGGCCTCAGAGAAGAAATCTTCGTTCCATGTGCGGTTGGACAGTTCTCCATTCAGTTCTACATACGTTTTGAACAAGTTGAACCATCCATGAACGTTTAGAACTGAATTGGCATGCTGCAGTGCGCTATTGAAGTCTATCAACTGTGGTAAATTAGCCGCCATGCCATCATTTGCAAAGAAAAAGAAACTGTGGGCTCCTTCTTTACTGAAATAAGTCTTGTATGTCGTGAAATAGTCGGCTAAGTAAGAGTCTCGCGGCACAAACCAATTAGGGTTAAATTCTTGTTTGAGGTAAGTGGTGGCAATAATTGACCCAATGAAAAGCACCCCGCTGACGATTAGCACAAGATAACGAACTTTCATTAAGAATTCGCCGTACCATTTGAACATCCTATTGAGGATGTCAACTTTGCTGCAGTGTGAGGGCTTCCAGTCTTTATGAGTGAGGAACCACAATAACCCGTTCCTTTTTTGCCTCAAGCGTTTTTCATCGAACGTCAACCATGCTAAAAAGAAAGATGACTGCAGAATGTACACAATCATAATGCCCACACTGGCGTATGCACAAAAAGACTGCAAAGCTGGAAGTTCAGTCGTCGCTCCAATAGCGAATGCAGTGACGTCCGTTAGTGACGTGGCAGTGATAGCGACCCCAGCGTGACGCATGGTCCTGCCTGCCTTTGCCACCAGATCGTCGTCTTCGTGACCTTTGCCTGCGTTTGCTAATTCTTCTGTATCGGTATCCCAAGTTGATACGATGATAAACATGTCATCGACGCCTAGACCTATCAACAGTAATGGTAATATTGAGTTCACGGGAGAGTACATGATGCCCATGGCGGAACAGATTCCGTACGATGACAGCAGAGCCATAGAGACACTCATTAGACCGAACAATGAGAGTAGAGGCCTCTGTTCCACTTTGTTGCGACGCCCCAGCGTGCCGTTGACGAATATGAACATCAGAGCAAATCCAACAGTAAGAAACGTTACGTCTCCCCATATGTTACTATCGCTGACGTTGCCAAAACTACTCGCTGCGTTGGCATAGACTGTCATTTTACTTGGGCTCTGTTGCAAGACTGTGTCAAGCCACACACTTTCCCAATCCATGCTGGCAGTATCCACTAGCTGGCCACTAGAGAGGTCCACTTTGTAGTCGCCTCTGTCGACCGCATCTTCATCGATCTTGCTAATCCAAATTTGTAGGGTAGCCTTGGCCGAAATGATCTTCCCTGAATCATCTCTCTGCACGTCGCCGACGTATGAAAGAAAATCAGTTTTAACCCCGAACACATCACTTATAGTCGCATTATTAAAATCGTTGACAACCTTTTCATCAGTCAGACTCATAATTATATCTTCGTTGAGCCCCCAAATTTCCAGAAGACTGGTTTCGTAACAAAATGAAGGCAGTTCATCCAGAACATTGCAGTAACTTTCGCGCGACAAAGCGAAACTGATGTCATCAAGATCCTCAATCACTTCCCTACGTCGGCGTCTAAAGTCAAGCGTCCCGAGCTCATAGTCATCATAGTCTTTATTGCTGTTATCTTCGACGCTGAGGGACGGCAGCCTTGCGCAGACGTCTTCCCATGTATTGCCGGACTTTGGTTCTACAGCAGCGTTCACTGCCTGGTGCAGATGCCATATCTCCTGCATGGCGTGAGCAGTCAAGACGTTTTCCGACTCCCACAATAACATGTGGCGCCTGAAGTATGTCGGGAAATGTTCATTCTGCCAATCCAACATCTGAAATAGTTATAATATGAATTTAACACTCTTGAATTACTCAGAATTTACAGTATCATTGCCTTAAGTATTTTACTAATATTCTGATAACAATATCTTAACAATATCTCCTGACTCGTATAGCTGCCCAAATAAATACTAAAGGAGGTTGAGTTCTGGCAGTGATCGAGGACGCACGTAGTGTTTGCGGGTCCCAACTTTCTCACTTTTTACTATGCCGGTTTGACTTATCTCGCGAATTTTGTACCGAAACGATTTCAGTGAAAGGTTCAATTTTAGTGCAGTTCAATCAAAATTGTGCGAATAGTGAGAAAAACGGCTAGTACAAGTTCAGTCATGAAAAGATCCGGTCAAATGACACGAGTTTAGATCTATGAACAAGGCACGAAATTGGAAGGAATCGGCGACAGGCCATATCATGCCTACACTTCAGAGCCGACATCACTATGTTATGTTATGTTAAGCAAATATGTTCCATATTATGATGCAAAAATACGAAATAGAAAGAACTGGAAAACCGTATAAATACTAAATGAGAGCAGCCTACATGATATTTCGAGTTTGACATCAAATTGAACTTCAGTTTTTGTGCTCGACACGCTATTAACAACTACGTAATTCAAGTAGCAGCTTTAATCAATCTATTCCAACAGTTATAGGCAAATTTAACTAACCTTAATGAATGCTGAGTTTTGTGGCAACCAAAGTTTGAACGGGCGGAGCTCCGATCTGAAATTGATGACACCGATGCCCATTGCGAGCGTCACGGTGACACAAATCGCGATTGTCGAGAGTGGGTACGTCGCCACCCGTCGCCCGTGTCGCTCGAAGCCGTCTTCCATCTTCTGGATGATAAACGCACTGCATGATGCCAATGATAGCCTGCAGAAGTAAAGGGTGGGTGAGCAGCCATTGTTGGCATAGCATGAGTAGGCACAGATAATGGATGATCATGGCCTAGCTCTTCCCGAATCTCGTCGTTTTGTACCTGACTCGTATAGCTGCCCAAAATATATGGCCCCTGGCCAATGGCCATGTCTATGTCCAAAACTGCACATGTAATACTATCTGTCCAGTGGACGCATAGCTGGGGATGCAGCGCAGAGGGATGAGGCTGGCAAAGACTTAACGTGCATGGTTCATCGTGAAGAAAATAGATGAGCTCATGGGAATGTACGTGAGATATGAAACCTACGACAAACTTATAATGATGCGTAAATAATTGGAACTGAATTCAAATGATTTAATAAATAATACACTCAGGAAGCTGAATGTGTATGTTACCAGATAACATCGACTAGTATGTGTTCGCGATAAGAGAAGAGGAAAATATTCATCACACGGTTACTGAAGACCGAACTAAAGCAGTAGCTAACACCAGAAAACTTCCAGCCTCTGGCCTCTCGTCTCCACCACGAGCAGTACCCAGCCAACCAGGCTTGCATGTAAGAGGGATTACAAGTATCGGTGTGGCAGAGAACGAGTTCTTTGCACTATTGCGTAACCATTATCTCCATTAACTGTGTGATAGTGCTTTGAAAATGAAGTCGTGCACTTGCCGCAGAATGCAACTATTACTTCAGCTATCTGACAATGATTGTATTAGGAAAATTTCTTAACTGAAAAGTTTTACATAATGGGATTCAGCAACCAGTCCTTAAAGAACATTTAGAAGGCGAAACGTAGGTAATTCATCATTGATGCACGTGGTTCGATTTACGCACCAGTTAAAGCTAATACTAGTACATTATGTGACACAGCAACGCAGGATTAAAAGGAGATGACGCCAGATAACGACCATTAAAAATCCCACTAGGAATTGACCTTTAAAATTTAAGGCAGGACAATTCAATGTAACATATTTACAACCTCCATATCGCAGCAGAATTTTTTGCCCTATCGTGTGAGCTTAGTTGCGGTCGTAACAGAAGGCTCGTTCTTGTCTTTACCTGCTGCTTCTGGGGCTTTTCTTTTGGCCTCCAGCCCCGTCTTTTGTTTCGTCTGAGGCAGCCTGGGAATCCCCCTTACATCTTTGGGAGGAGTTTGTGGCTTCCATGCAGATCGATTCTTGCACAACACCTTGCATTTCTAGATTGTTGTGCACAGTATTTTCTTGTTGAATGTTACCTGCAGCTAGTTTTGATTCACTGTTACAGATATTATTCACTCTATCATCACTTCTAGTTCTGAATTCACTGTTGTCATCACCACTAACTCGTTCATCAAGTCCTCGAGCGCCTCTATTTTCTGTGTTGTCTACATCATTTTCATCGTTTTCTCGATGCGTTCCACCCATCGTGAGATCTTTTGCACGCGTGCTGGCACAACTTAATTCATGAATTTTAAACTTTGGATAAAAATGTTCCTGTAGTGCACCAGTAGGAATTTCATTTTTATGCTGATAAACAAAATGCCTGGAAAATGCAAAAAATACTAGTTATTTAATCAAACATAATGAACACTTGAATTAATGTTATTCATGTTAAGTTAACTGAAAGCATCGACTTTTAAGGGTGGCGTTCACGTACATAGTATTATTGTCTAACTGAAATTGTAATAAATATAATTGTGACACGAAAGCATATCGAAAAATATTGAGTTTTGTCCCATAAGCTTTCCTCCGGGCAAAAGCATTTTCACGTGTTTTTTATTCTATTACTAAATAAGTTTCATTGTTTTTGAAATTGACAATTTGAGCTTTGAACTAACTCCAAGTTCATCGCTGCTGTCAAACTTCCATTAGATTCAACTCTACGTTATCCATCCCTTTTACATTCTTCCTATTTTTATCATGAAATTCGATCCTTTAAGTCTTGCCCTCACGAGTAATTTTGGCTACGCTGTTATCATAACTTAAACAAAAAAGTGATCAAAACGTAATAAATGAATTTTGTAAAGTGATACTTAAAATTAAAACAATCAACAAATTTCGCGAACTAAATCGTCATCTAACACCGTAACACGTATGACGTGCGCCATCGGCTTAGTTGAATATCTAAAATATTGCATACCAACAGCATACAGAAAGCAAAATTATAGCATCAATAATTTGTTCATCAAATAATCAATTATTTGAGGAAAATTATAAGCAGTAAATTGCTTTAGAGAATTTAAATGAATCTACAACAGGAAAATAATTTGTACAGTGAAGGTCAATATTAATACAGAAATGTTATTTATTGAAATTCTCCTAACTAATTCTTAAGAGCAAATTCTTTCTGAAACTTGCTGAATCCTCGTCACAACTGGATGCGTTCGAAGGAGACTTCGCAGTCATGCTGGGTTTAGGCTGCTTGTTACATGTGTGACTTGAAAGCAAAAACTCGAAGGCCGAGCAGGAGCTTTGTTGAGTTATCTAAACCATGCTATTCGCTAACACATAGTGAATATATGGTCGGCAATTTGTAACCCATACAAGCAAAGTTTTGAGGTTATACCTATTCGGTAATAGATCCAGCTAAAAGATCAGTAATTTTTGTACATCAATAATAACATTTTTAAAATTTATCTTATCCATAAGAAAATCTAAAAAATAATAGGTAAAAATATTTTTTGAATTTGCCACGAGACTTCAACTTCAATTGAAACATAACATAACAATTGCTGAAACATAACATAACAATTAACATAACATAAATTTTGCAAGTGAAAATTTGGTTGACGGTGAAGCTTGAAGATCTCGCCATTTTAGTTTGACGGCAAGAAAACGTTCACACTGGAGCTAATATTTGTTTTAAGGGATGTTTTAATGCCATTCGTTGGATATTCAACTCATTGCTGAGTAATGATAAGGTGGTTGGTGGTTAATTAGAGCTGCTTGCAATAACCACTGCCACTCATTGTGATTTTTTCTCTTGTTCACCTAGTCTTTAATTCAGCATTTATTTATTATCAATGTGATTTAGTCACAACACAAGATCAAGAATTAGCGAACGAACATAGGTTCGAGCTCAAGTAAACGTTAATATGTACTAGAGATTTTTTACTTGCCTGGAGCGCCTTACCAAACTATTATCTTCAAATGTCAAGATATCTTAACCCGTGTGCATCACAAGAATTCAAAGCTGTGCTGAAAACCACAACCGCGTATATTTCTCAATAAAAAATTAATTATCAACAAAATATTCTTCAAGAACGTATTAGGAAACTTATGAGAAATAAATTCATTTTCTTATCGAAATATAAAAAAACATCTATGACAATAATTACATCAAAAATGCGCGTTACAAACGCCACACATTCACAAATACAGCTCAGCTATGAATTGTACCTTTGCACATAGCGTGAGGAAACGATAGTTTTCACTTAACACTTCTTATTTATTTCCTTAGACCTCAACCAAAAATTCGGTTGTTGCATCATTATTTTTTTAATGCCAAATTCCATGGTATTCTGTCATTGAAGCTTCGGGTTACTCCTCCTGGCCTTGGATACACGGTTGCAAGGCTACCCAGTTGAGTGTAGTCATTCTAGGCATGCAGGAGGCCACCGCCTATGGACATATGGTATTTTTGTATAGGGATAATCGTGCTACCTCTCCGCCGTTGGTTCTTGGGCGTGGGTACTGGACTAACTACAAAATGGATGTCAACGCAGCGCTCTAGAAAATTTACTTTAGGGAATAACTGTTTCTATAATAAGTATTCTATAATGTTAAAAAAATCAGGCTAGCGAAGTTGCGTACGTATGGTATGAGGTGGTGTGGTCGAAACGTAGGCAAATGCATTGTACCTCCAGTCTGCACTAACCCCACAATGAAAGCCATAGAAGTTATTTTCATTATTCATTCTGTGATTTAAAAAGTGCCGAGTCAAGGCTGCTTCAGTCTGAGGGTGCCGCACTGCACTATCTAAATGTGCTGATTAAAACATGTCAGACTAATGGCGCTAGTCGACTATCAACAGCCATTCAGGTCAAAGAAAAAGTAAATCATTCGCTAGATTGCAATTGTCACACGAGCCTCTGCGGATGCTTTCGCAATACCTACACATGACAATATCCAATATGGTAATTATAACATTATAATTTTCCAGTTCAAATATGAACATTGCTCAATAATCCTCGCTACGGATATTTAACACGAGAAAGCGATAAAGACGTATAATATAAAATTACCAAACAATTTCATTTTATTGTGTATAATGATTACTCCGTCATATAAATTTGGGTGTATCTTATATCTCTTGAAAAATCACGTTCAATCAATTATTTCTCTATATTCACACTCGTCTACAAGTAACGAAAGACTTGATAGCGAAGAAAACGTACATCGTGACATGCGTCACTAGACTTTCACTCGCCACTTCTTCCGCGTACGGCTGCTCTGTTGGTAGACGCTTGTGGCTCTACGCGTTCCGCATTGGAAAGCCAGGCTTACGCAAGCGTCAGGCTGTCCTACGCCTGGGCGAGGAGCTACATCTGCGGCCCAAGGTCTCCTGCTACGTACCTACCTGCCTCCATACAAGTCAAGGATCAAGACCAATGAATCCTCCTTACTTATTTCTTATTGACGTAAGGGTGTTTCTTTCGATTATAATTAGTTTATGATAACAAGTTATTTACAGTATATTAACAATCAATCGTATAAATGTGACCAATGGGTCACAAAAAATATCAAATTGGTATTAAATTAATCCTCTTAACCGTAGATGAAGAAAGGCCGATACACGTTTGCAATTCTTGGCCATATAATCCTCAGTCTTAAATATGGTCGGCAACTTTAGGAAACTGTACAATTTCATCCATAATAGTGAACAAAAATAGTGTGCAGCGCACCTGTGCTGAAGCACAGATAATTATTTGTGTTAATTAATTCGAATTATCGGTGATGATCGAGCATTATCGTTGGAAGGAAGCGTCTATGGATGTCAAGGTCTCGTTTATTTCAGATTCTAAACGACGATTTTTCGGGTGCGCACCAGTATAAGTGGAGGCATTTTATCCTAAAAACGTGAACAAACGTCCAAGTCTTTTACATCTTTCATGCCACATATCCGCTAGAGATTGGCAGTTATTAACTATTAAAACAAAAATAAAGCAGAAGTATCTCGTGCAATATAATTCGTTATACGGTAACACGATAAATACAATTGTGTACCTTTTCGTCCCTCCGCAACGACGTTAAAAATTCATTCAAGGTTGACAGTCAAAGCTCCCATCGGGCGAAAAATTTGAAAACATAGATTTGTGTCACAATAACAATTATGCTTTTAGAATTACTGCGGTGAATTTTCCAAGTCAAAATCAAGTTTCGACACCAATAAGAATTGGCGTGAAACATAGCATTTCATGATAAGAAAATTGGCATAAAAATCGCATTTTATGACATAACCGACGAAAATAACTTGAAAATATGCTAATCGCTATGGAACATCTCATAATATCTAATTTCGAGCTTTGAAACCGTCATTGAATGAGTAAAATTTATTCGTCAAGCCACCGGACGTCAAGGTGGTAACCTTGCCTACGTATAAACGCATACTTTCTATGATGCATGAGTTGCTCTCAGTAGCCTTGTTGTTCGGTATACAACTTTTTTATAACAGCGTTTCGCATGCACTCATTGAAAAAATTTCTTGTTTTGGAGAATAATTACCAGGTACTTTCGTTAAACAGTGGGATAAAACATATTTTTCATAATCTTTTAGTTCTCAGAGCAGTAGAGTGGCATTTGTATCACGCGATCGATATTTTCGAAACGTTCAATTGAAATAAAAGTATTATTTACGGCAGTTAAGTAATCGAATTATTTAGGTGCCCTTTCCTAAAGGTAATACCTATTACAACTAAATGCAGGAAGTTTCACTTAATCATATGAATTAAATAGTTTAGAATGTAAAGCTTATCCTAATGATGAAGAGGCCATAAGTAAAATCAGCTGCAAGCAATCGAAAAATCCACAAATCCTATATTCCCTAGCAGATCAAAGACATTGATCCTGTTTACTCGCGCTTCAACATTGTTTCAACGGTCGTTCGTGATATCTATATATGTCTTCTATAGTGATATAATACCTTCATGACACGGCATTATCAAAACTAATTTTTTTAATGTAATTGACCACGTTGTCTAAGTGCCGACATCAGCAATGATTTTTTACCTGCAGTAATAATTTAAACAAACCAGAAACAGAGTGTACCAGCTGCTGCATTTTTTGCACCCATAAATTCTACCGTTTCACTTCGACCAGGCGACGGTTCTTTATAGTTCAGCTTATAGGTCGCAAGTGAACGCCTCTGACCAAACACGTCGGTCGTAAAAAAATACTCTGGAGCAGGCTTTCGAACGCTGTTACGCAATAATCTATTGATTATATTCCTTTAAGTCCTTTTCTTTGTCATTGCATTGAGCGTAAAGAAGTGATACGAACCACCAAATAAAACCTTGTGTATCTGTATTCATTGAAAAATAAATTGT